GCTCTTCTCGTCCGAGCGGCTCTGTCTCGTCATTTCCGCATCTAGTGTAGATTTGCTGGTGTCGCCTCCAGGCCCTTTGCTCGCACTTCTGGTCTGGATCGATGGCTCCTTGGGATAGGTGTCCTGGCGTTTGCTTTCTCCCGGCATCGAAGAGAACTTTCTGGAGTTGCGCGCACTGAGCCTCTTAAAACGCCGCTGCTTCGAACCTTTTTGCTTTTTCAGCTTTGGCTTCCTAGCGTCACCGCTATGCTCCTTGCTCCTCCAGCCGCTGTCGGTTGGTGCTTTCTTGAGGTGGATATCTTCACGATTTCTGTCTCCCAGCCCAGACGACGGCTTTCTCTTTCTGGAGTTGCTCCTCTTCAGCTTCTGGTGACGTTGTTGATTGGATGGGGCCGGGCCGGATTGGAGGGCACCGACCCTGCGCAGCCTCCTCTTCTTGGGTCTCTTTTGAGTGAACGGCCCGCTCATGTCGGCGCCTGAATTGTCGCCATCAGACTTGCCGTGCCATGATCGGGATGACCTCTCGGACCGCCTGCGCTTCGGGTCTTCTCATGGATGAAGAAAGAATAAACAATTAAAACAGGGACAACACAACCACATCTTTCATGAAAGATGTGGTTGTGTTGTCCCTGTTTTAATTGTTTATTCTTTCTTCATCCATGACTTTAACCAACACGCTCTTCTACCAAGCGGGTCTTCTCGCTTGCCCAGACTTGACTCTTCCTTGTCGCAGCCAAGCCCCTTGCTTTCGCAGCCGCTGTCCGTCAATACTTCCTTGGGATGAATATCCGCGGGATTTCTGTGTCCCAGTCTCGACGACCGCTCCCTTCTGCGAGACTCGCCTTCGCCAGATTTCCAAAAATGCCCTTCATCAGAAATGTCCGCACCAGGACGGAGAACGCTGATCTCGGGTTGCGTCTTCCTCCTATGTCTTTTCCGTCTGGACGGACACCCGATGTCGTTCTGCGATGGAGACGAGGTTTTCGAGGGACCCTGCTCCGGATTTTTCTCATCCAGCCTGGTTCTCTCCGCGCCCCCCTTGGATCCCTTTCTCTTGCAGCCGCCGCCGGCTGATGGATCCTTGGGATGGGTGCCTCCGCGCTTCCCCCTTTCCGGCCTGGACGACTTCTGCTTCTGGCTCGACGCGTCGCGCCTCTGTTGACGTTGCTGATCAGAATCGTTCGGAGCAGGACGGAAAACACTGACCCTGCGCTGCTTCCTCTTCTGTTCCTTCTTTCCAGAAGGACGGCTCGAACAGGACGCTTTTTCTGAGCACCCCTGACTCTGGTCTCGCTCGTCCAGCCCCGGCTTGGTCTCGGAGTTCCACGGGGGACGGCCAGGACGACCCACTTCCTGCTCCGCCTCCCCATCCGCTGACTTCTCCACGTTGCTTTCCTCGAGTTGGATAGACTTCCGCGGCGGCATCACCATGCTGGCCTTGTCTTCGTCCCCCAGGAAGCAGACGTCAGATGCTTGAGAGGCCTCTTCTCTTCTTTTGGCGGAATCCCCTCCAACTTCCAGCGCTTCAGGTCTGGAGTCGGCGTTGTGCGGAACGGCGTCGGTAGTCCCGTCGGCACAAAGACCCTGGTCGTCGGTTAAATTGAACTCTTCCTCTTCAACCTTTTCTTTCTGACCCACCGTCTCTGCCGCTACTTGACGCGTTCTAGCTCCGCTTGGTGCAACCGCTCTTTCCCTCCTGGACACAAGGTCTTTTTCTCGTGGCTTCGGATCACCCTCGTACGTGAACCAGTGAGGAAATGTCGCTGCTAGGTACTTCGAGTCTGTGACCTCTACTACTACCGTTCTTCTTTGAGACCGAACTTCCTGCATCAACGTTTCAATCTCGAGCCTTTTCTCCGCCAATTCACGAGCCCGCTTCTCGCGTTCACGTTCGCGTTTTTCGTCCCGCTCCTGCTTTTCAGCCTTCGCTCTTTCGTCCCGCTCCCGTTCAGCCTTCGCTCTTTCGTCCCGCTCCCGAATCAGCTCCCAAGCCTCCTGAAGCTCTACGTCCGACACTTCCTTTTCGCGAAGTAGCTCCATGATCGGCTTCCTTCGCTTTGCCTGCCCCACGCTTATACCAAGCTCCTCGCATACCGCCACCAACTCAGGAATGCGTAGCTTACTGACTTCCATGATCCCGAGTGTCGCAATCTCCCTCCCCTATCTAACTCAGTCAGCTTGAACTTCGCGTTTTCTGAGCCGAAAGGGCAGCCTTCTACTCGCGTACCTAACACTGAGCAAAAGGTCTGGCAAATCAAGGGAAAATTGCAAAGCACTCACCCGTACCAGGAACCATGAGCAGGCACGTCATCCCGCCGCTGCCAACCAGTTGTTGCGACCGAGGAGTTCCCCAGGCAGCCTCAGGCAGGGCCAGGCGAGGACAGGAACCGCGGGCCGACTCCAGGCAGGGACATCAGGAGACGGGAGGGTGTCTCGCGATAAACTCTGTTTATAATACATATGTACAGAAGTTTCTTGTTCGTCGGAGAGCACACTCGCGGAAAAAAATTGGCTTGCTCTTTATGTTTATACAGCCTTGATAGAGATGCGCCTCAACGGGTAATCGGTCTCTTAGCTGTAGATGAGAAATTTGGCCAGTGCGGTACAACCGCTAACCTGGGGTTTTTAACGTGCATCACGCAGTAGTGATCACACGAACGCGTGCCGGTACGAAACTCATCCAGATCGAAACGGGCAGGGGCGGCGGGGACTCGAACCCAGGAGGTTCCCAGCGCAAGCTTTCGCTCAACGCTCCGAGCTGAGACGCGTTAGCCCACTCGGCCACTTCCTCCCCTGCACACTCGCGGCCTCTCGTCTGCTCTTTTTATATCGTCGCTGTTTATGTTCCAGCGGTTGGCAGCCAATGGTGGCCGAACTGCCAACGGACGTCACGTTCAGGCCCCGCCCCCACTCCTCTCGAGTGCGCACACACATACACGCACACACTGCAGCGTCGGACGGGCTTCCCAATCCGGCGCCGGGGCATTCTTGACCTCAATAAGCCGCGCCAGGAGTCGGTGACGAAGGGTCCGCTGTCAGCTCGTGAGACGTTGACCGTGATGGAGATGATCCCCTCATTATGCGGCGTCCTGGCTCGGGAAAGGTTTAGCGGGATAATCCGCAAGTGGCGCCGGACGAAAACTTGAGCCGAACGTACTCGGCCGGAAGTCCCGCCGCCGGCGTCGTCCCCCGGAATCCTCTCTCGGCAGGGCAGCTGGTTCCTGGATGGACTCACCCCCGCAGCCAGAGAGAAGAGTCCGGCTCAGCTCCGCTCCCAGGTGTGGCGGCGTCCACGCGGCGCCGGGCGACGTGTTCTGTCAACAACGGCTCAGACGGCCGGTCGCCGATCCTAAATGCGAAGGCCGAACCCCACCGGGTGGACAAGAAGGGGAGGCGAAGGAAGGACGTGACCTTCGCCAAGGCCTATCGCAACATGCTATAAAGATACGCATACGAGATTTCTTCTTGCAAAAACAAAAGCTTGGTTTCTACTCAGCCTTCGAACGCGTTCGATAAGTGAGTAGAGACAAAAGCAGCCAGCATTGTGTCTACCCACTAATTCTTCCACTGAGAATTCGGTGTTTTGACGTCCCCGGGCGCTCCCGCATACTTCCTCAGTTCCCACCTGCATTGGAATAAATGTATGGTGGCATCACGCACGCACGGAAAGCTTAGTGAGTTCTGTCTGTTGGGAAGGTGATCGAGAGATTCTGAGTACCTCTGATTGGTCGAAGATTGATTTGATGTGTCACGCTCATATTCATGTAAGATCAGAATATTACGCAAAAAAGTACAAAAAAGCAAAGCTAAGGAATAGCCAAAAAAAGTACAATATTTACAGCGGATAATTTTATGTTTCATGTGTTTATTATGACCTGGCACTCGCATTTCACAATCAATGCAGAAACTGGTGCTTTATACAGAACGCCAGGTTGATGGCATCAGGATCAACTGATTAAAGTCAAAGTCGTCACTGCGGTGCAAGACTAATCTTGTTTTGTGTCTGATTTGATGTGGACAAACGCGAAGTACGCAGCTTTAAATAGGAAGGTCGTCACAAATGGCGGCAAGAGCTTGATCGCCTTTTCGGATAGGGGAGGGTTCAGAGCGCGTTTGCACCAGGGTGTAAGATAGACAGGTGGGGAAACAAGAGCCAAATGAGTGACCGCATTGTGTCCCCCTCGGTTTTCTCTTTTTCTGTACCGGCATCTATGTGGAGCACCGCGAACTCTCACTCAGGGTGGGCGACCGGTGGCGACCGACTAAACTGACGGAGATGGTTTCTCGTGGATTTTTAATGAAAGACTGTCGTACTCTCGGTTTATTTTGCGCACTCTTTCATAGAGTTCCACGCAAATCCGATTCCGATTTTTTTTTCCTCTCGCCGCAGCGCCATCTGTCGCAAATCGGGGGTACCCGCAAGCAGACGAGTACACAATCCGGTCACGGCGCTGCGGTAGGCTTCTATGGGCCGTTTCCCCACCTGTCTATCTTACACCCTGGTTTGCACTCAGAAATCGGCAAGAACACATTCCGAAAAACGCGTGGAAAATATATCTTAAAAAAAAGCTAATTCGTCGCATCCTATTCTACCGGTACGAGATGCGTGTTCAGCTTTTCTCATCATGGATTCAGTGTCCTGTTCGTGTTCGCAGAAAGTCGTAAAACTGGTGGTCTTATTCGTGCTCATGGCAACTTCAGGTTCAATTGTATTTATGTCCTCAGCATTTCTGGAGGTTCCTCTTCGGAAGACTTAACAAACTTGTCGCTTGCCTTTTCGATATTTGATGTTCGTCTGGGGCGCGGCAGCGGAGAGCCCCCCCCCCCCCCCCCCCCCCTCCCCACTCCTTTCCTGAATGCTCTCAAAGTCCCTTGATTTGGAGATCCGCGAACTACCGTCTGCCGACCGTAGCCTTACACGAAAGCTCTTGAATGCTATCTGTATAAATTAAGCTCGCGCTGAATGTTCTTTCAAATTTAATGAATAAGGTATTGCTCACCTTTTCGAGCTTCCAGACTCTTTCCAAAACACAGTTCTATCGACTCTTCTATTACCATCGTGCTTTTCCTTAAGTTCACTTGTTACGCATTCAATGCCGTCAAATTGATCTTCAAGTGGCACCAGGTATAAACGGCTCCTGCTTGTGAGAAACTGCAAGATAAATATTCGCGGTGCTACGCTATCGTGCTGTTTTATTTGTAGGTACTGGCCATCGCAAAATATGTGTTACATTCATTTTTTTGCAATAATTTAGTGGGTGCGAAAAATCATAATTAATAAATATAAATTTTTTTTTTTTTACTTTACGAACCGTTTTTTATTCACGAAATGTTCACAGTCAATGTTGAACAACTAATTCAGCTCCCGTGAATGACACACACGGGGATAGTGCAGTCATTAGAGTGCCTTCATGGGCGCTTCGCATAGAGTGGTGCCAACTGCCTGTTTCCCTTTCCCACACCCTCTTCCACCGCCATTTTGTTTCTCTCATTGTTTCCCCGTGCTCCGGAAAGTGGCCTTTGTGTCCATCGGTAATCCCATCCGAGGGGGAAAATGCTAATCCTCCCTCCGTGGGTTCCACAACGCTGTTCCGAATTTCTGAGATAAGGTGCTTGTTTCCGGGAGGGTTATAAGCCCCACGGATTATCGCCGAGGAACAAAATGGCTGCTGGTTTGTCGGCGAGTGGTATTTCAAAGGGTGGCATCACCCTAGCAAAGCGAACATGAAGGCTCCCTAGCAGTCATAGCATGGAAGACCGGTGTCTGGGGGATGAATTCTGTTTATCTCTTCTATTTTACTCTTAGTGGCTTCGGTTTATATTTGGCCAATAAAAAAGTTCACACTGTTTAATTTTGTAGATTGTATGAGCAAAGTAGTTTCACTACTTTGCTGCGAACGAGATAAGGGGTCAGAAATGCATATTTGAGTGACAAACCCGTTTCAATTTCCAACCTAAGATGAACTTCAAGAGAAATTAAGGGTAAGCAAAACACATTTCCAGCGAAGTTTATGAAACAAAGAGGCTGACAAGGCGTTTATATTGCCATGTGCATGACTGAGAAGCAACGCTTCAATGTTCTTTTAGATGATTCGGGTTCACGATTTCCGCGAGATTAAAGATTACAGGGCCAGAGTGACGTTGCCGAATAAGTCTCGCCGTAGTTCACTCCCGAACATTTTAAGCCGAATCTTCGAGAAGCCGAGTGTAGTAGAAAAGGAATCGAGCGCCCTTTTACAGATTAATTGAGATCCTCCAGACGACGAGATTCATTTACTCTCGAGCTAGCCAGCAGTCACGTCGACGTAACGTTGCTAGCTCTAAAAAAGGCCCTAGCGTTTTCTTTCCCGCACAGCTCTCGCAGAGCCAATCATCGCTACTCACGGAGGCAGCGCAGAGAATGACAATGCCGAAACATATGTTTAGACCAAAAAAGGCAGTCTGAGTTGAGACATTGAGCAATGCAAAACGTCGCGCTTGCATTGCTTAATGTCACAACTCAGACTGCGTTCTTTCGACTAAAGATACGTTTCGGCATCGTCATTCGCTAATCTGCTTCCGCAAGTTGCGTTGATTCGTTCTCCGAGTTTTGTGCGGGAAAGTAGACGCAAAGGCTTTTTTTTAGAGTGCATGCTGCCACCGTCGACGCTCGCTGCTGCTTTGCTCGACGTTTGTTCTTCCTTTTGCTTGTGGCACAAGTTCGCCGATTAAAACTTTATTTTCAGTTCATTATTTACCGTCTCTTCGCCTTCCTCCGTGACATTTCTAGTAGAAGTGCGGAATACAACAATACAAGCATACCCCTCAGAAGACACGCCGGCCAAGTGAGATGCTCAGTCCCGGATGACTACCCTTCGCAGAAGATGCCAAAGCAAGGGCAAGCCACGGCACCAAAGACCAACTCACGGAATTTGAAATTCTGCCGGACAAGCCCAAGACGCACAAGATGATGGCGCTGCCGGTTTCGACCGCCTCATCTTTCGTCGTTACGCGCGTCTCACCACAGACATCTGCTTCCTTCCACGGCGACGCCTACGAAGACATTGAGGATTGGATGAACGAGTACGATAGAGTGGCCCGGTACAATAGGTGGTGTGATGATATAACTTAGTGTGCAAAAGAAGAAGGGTGTGTTAACCCATGGATCGGCTCGGAGGGACAAGGGAAGAAGACGAAGAAGAGAAGAGATGGGGAGTGCGTGCACGAAGAGCGTGCGAAGGACTGGCCGGGAGAACAGGCTAAAACCGAACGACACCATCGACCAGGGCAATCGGCGGCTCGCTCCTGCAGTCTGACCAGAAGCCTTGTCCCGGCGAGGGCAGCGCATAGAAACCTACGCTGCCCGGCTTCCTACTGCGGGAACACATGGTGAGGTGACTCTTAAGTCATCGATGGAAGCCAGCCGCTCCCGCTCCTGAATGCCAGCCACAACCGTGGGCCGACAACGACACCTCCAGACACGAGATCCGCTGCTGCGCATGGTTGTTAAAGCATAGTGACTGTTGCGTTCCACTTTCTTCTTTTTTTTTAACTAAGTTTTCTTTTTTTTTCTTTTAGTATAAGCGTACGAACTCGTGATTTCATTTGTAAGTACATGTTTCTTTTGGAAATACATGTAAATACGTTTTAAGAAAAACGAAGAACATTGTATATTGTCTATACTTCGCCCTTAAAAAACCTTGCTACATGTGGACACCTGAGCAATGCCTGCAGAACGCCTACTTCGCCCTAGAGGGAACGGCGCCTAACTGGTATGAAAACCACGAGGCGACGATAACCACCTGAGAAGCATGCAAGGTGGAGCTCCGCCGAGCGTTTGCGACCCAGCAGTGACGAGAATGCTCGGAGGGGCTGCTTGAGGCAAGGGTTCAAGTACCGAACGACAGAATCGTTAGATTCCTTGAGGGCGTGCTCCGACACAGCAGCCGATCGGATCTCGAAGCTCCTAAAGCGAAGAAACTGAGGATCCGCATGCGAGGGGTAAAAAAGAACATATTTGAGTTCTATGTGCACAACCTACCGGCGACCGTCGAGGCTCTCGTGACACATTCGTCGAACATCAAAAGCAACCTCCTTGCAAAAACCAGTCACTACAAGCGACTTCCCGGCGTCGCTGGCCCGACGTCGTCCGTTTGGAACGTCGGCACCAGCGTCGCGGGCATATGTGAGATTATTCGCGACGTCGTGCGGGAGGAGCTCAAGCAGCTGCATCCTACTGCCGAGCGCACGGCCTCGCTCTCGATTGCCAAGGTCGTTCGAGAAGAAGGTCCTCGCGCCTTCCAATCGCAGGCTCCCATCAACGAAAGCGCCCAGTAGGAGCCGACGTTGACCTTCACCGCCATGACCCGACGGCCACCACCGGTTGCCCACAAATACATGGCGCCTTCTCGACGCGAGACGCCTCTACTCCTGTACGTTTGACTCCAGGAGGTACGACCCCTCTACGTCCGGCAAGACCACTTGGCGCCAAGGGAGACGGACGTCTGGAGAGCGGCTAACCGATGCCCGGTTTGCGATCACTACTGTGAAGTGGACCACATTTATCGCCAATGCCCCTACCGGTAATTTGGGCTGCGCGGGTTCCATCCGAGCGACCCGCGCTCACGGTGCGGTGAGCGCACAGAAGAAATCGACGAGTATCATCGCCGTCCACAGTCTCCGGCGTCCGTTTCGTCCCGTGGAACTCTCTCGCCTTCACCGCGACACCCTGCATCGACTCTTCGTAGGTTCCGCCGGGAGAGCCTGTCTCCAAAGCCTCGCCGGGAAAATTAAGTGCGTCAATACCAGAAGGTGGTATTGCCGAGGACGGACGACGCGAATATCCTCCGCAAACGTCGGAGGGCTCCCACACTTGTGACGAGACGCATCGGGATGACGCTTCTATGACGGTGCAGAATAATATCGGCGTTACAATCGACGGCCACGAAGCGACGGCACTCAACGACACCTGCGCGGACTATTTCCTTTGAAGCGGGAAGTTCTTTCGCCACCTTCGGAAAGTGATGACGCAGTGGGATAGCCCTACAAGGTTATTCGCCGCCTTGGCGAATAACCTTGTAGGGCTGATATAGTTAACGTCGTTCGACTCAAGCCGTACTATGCTGGATTTGACTGAGGAGTATATAGCGTTCAGACGACCCCGCAGTTTACTGTTGGCTGCTATTTGGTTTAGCTTTGTGTTCATTCAGTTAGGCTTGCATCAGGACCATGCGCGCATCACCGAGAATCATTGCCTGTCCGTTCATCTTGATAACTTGAATTTACGCTCACCGCGAGTGTAAAAGATAAAGAGGCCAGGATGACCTTGCCGAATAAGTCTCGCTGTCGTTCACTCTCAACATTCTAAGGCAAATCTTTGAGAACCGAGTGTGGTAGATAATGTTCCGAGCGCGACTTCGCCTATTCACTGAGATCCTCCCCACGAAAACGGTCATTCACTCTCGCACAAGGCAGCTGTCACGCCAATTCACAGTCGCTCACTGCCGCCGCCGTCGACGCTCGGTGCTGCTTTACTCGACGTTTGTTCTTCCTTTTTTTTTTCTCGCACAAGTTCGCCGATTAAACCACCTTTACTTTCAGTTTAATATTTATTGTATCATCGCCTTCCTTCATGACAAAATTGGGTATGTAAATAGAAATCAATGCGGTTCGTGTTCACACACTCTCATGGGTTTGTAGTAATAACGCCTCAGTGGCTCAAACCTTGGTAACTTTTTTTTTTCATAGATAAATTAATAGGAGCGCACCACATAAGGAAACGATTTTCTTGTTAGAATTTACATCTAACTGAACAACAAGCGTTAGAATGCATACATTATACTTATACGGATGCATTTTTGAATTGATGCAGATATTCAATGCACAAAAGGTCTAGTGAAGTAAGTAATACATGACATCAAATCAATAATCGTCATACTATACTGTATCAACCTGTAATCGGAATGCAAAGCTTCCTAACCATAAAGGATTTTCGATTGGAACTCCCACAGCTTTTTCTTTAAAGACCGACGACCAGTTCGTGCTTTCCGCTTTTCCCTGGCTTCCTCCTTTCCCCCATCTAAACTGTCCACCGTTGCCTGTTTCCTCCTCCCCCATGGTGAAAAGGATCTTCTGCCTTGCAGAATCTTGAGTCTGATCGTCGGCTTTTAAGGGAAGAGAGTAATCGAGTGCCTTCTTCACCATATTTTTATCGGGCTGGGCGGACATTAGATGAGGGAATAATCGTCATGCCAATTGGACTAATTACCTAAGATTTATTATTTAATTTTACATTCATCGTTTTCAGAGCCCATGTTCGAATTGCAGTACCGACGACAATTACCAACAGTGGGCAGATCATTTGAAAGAATTTGCGAAAAGGTATTGGGTTTTAGATTTTTAATGAATCATTTTTCGCGTTTTTGCGCCCAATTAAAAAAATGTGCACTGAAAGAGCGCGTAAAGCTCTGCCCATAATGATGTTTGGAAGCGTGACGTAGTCTTTTATGTCCCGTCGTCACTTGTGTGGTCAACGCACCCACAAAGGGCACGCTGCCGAAATACTGATGGCATGATTAAAAAGAATACGTCACACTTCCAAGGGCTGTTATGGGTAGGGCCTGCGAAGTTCATTTTGAGGGAGATTTTAACGGGGCCCTAATACCACAAAGGGAGTATTTTTTTTTTTTGTCTAAGACGATGTCTAAGACGATGCATGTTGTAGGAATACATAAAAGACGAGCGTGTTGTTAGGGGTACTAAATATGAGGAAAGGACAAGGGACGGACAACAACGACAAGCGACACGCAAACAAATACCGCAACGCGAAAACAATTTTCTCCACGTGCGCGCGCGCCTTTTTATTTTTGGCGCTTTTCTCTCCCGCCCGTCACCTCTTCGCTTCTTTTAATTTGTGACGTCAAATATTATAAAATTTAGAAGCTTTGTAAGCGACATTTATATAACATTTAATAACGACATTCATAAAACATGTTTTTTGACGCTATTGCGAACGCACTACGACCCTTCTTTTTGAAATTCCGAAAATGGGAGTCCCAGGTGATGTCGCCTCTTGGCTTTTTACCCTCGCTCGGAAATCATGGCGGCGCTCGATGCATGTAGCAGACAATGATCGTTGAGTCGGGGAATCGGACGAAGCGGTCTTTTTTAGGTGCCGGACAACCTCTCAGACTTTGAAAAGGAAATCTCGAACGATAAAAACAACTGGGTCTGGTGTCTGTGTATCGTAGTTTCGGTTGTGAATCCGCGGGGCAGCCTTTCACGCAGAGCCGACGCGACGTGGCCCCACACGTCGCCCACAAAATCCACTGCGTTTTTTACACCTCACACCATTTCAAAGAATTTGAAATCGCTGAAAGGGCCCTAAATGAACTTAGAACTCGACAGTCAAGCGTCGTCTGCTCGCAGCCGGTTGTTCGCGGGACGTCACCGAACACGACACTTAACGGCGGTTGAAAGGGACCAGAGAAACTCGACTCGCAGGAGGCTCAATTTTTCCGCGTGCGCTGCTCCCCTATATCAATATTTGACGTCACTGCACTGGCGCAGATCGCGCGGGAACTTCAGATTGCAGATGTTTTTGTCTGCAATTAATTGTTTGACCTGTTTTGTATACGTTTCATTTCGTGTTTATTTCTAACACCATCATTTATCTTCTCTGTTCATGGCGTATTTTATTTCGTTACAGCGGTTATTTTGTTGGTTTGGTTGAAACTTTTGTTACTCCTATGTTGAACTGTACGATAAAAGGGGGGGGGGAGAGGCAGAGGCTATGCCAGGCATTGTGCCTTTAACTCTGACCCCTCTGTGGAAACAAATCCCCAAAACAAATAAAGAAAACAAAATTAGCATTTGGAAATTGTTTTTTTACTTCACAAATACTGAATTCCCAACTTTCAAATTTTGAGGGCAATGTCCGGGCATGGTTTTCAATCGAGTCGGATAATAAAAAAAATATATATGATTTTGACCGGTCTGTGCCCCTTAAAGCGAAGAAGAAACGCGTAAATTGATTGACTAATATATATATAACAATTACGTTTTCCCCGATTATTTAAGCTGGTCTAGCCTCTATAGACTTGACTTCAATACTGCAGTTTCCACAAAACTCCTTAAACAAATATTGAAAAAGTTATTTAAAATTAATTTAATTAGTCAAAATGTCTTGACCCTTATTATCTCATTTAGTGTCCACTGAGGCTGTTAACTATTTGGTGAAAACAGAACTCGTCTGACTCACACCTTCTTTTTTAATCTCTTCGAAATAAAGTTTATTATATTGTATCAAAACTAATTGGGCGATCAATTGGCTGCAAGTTATAATATATTGTTGAACGTTATATGTTCATGGCTAATAATAATATTTTAACTTTAAGGATATTCCTTTTAAGTAAATAATAACATAAGGAGCTTGAACAACTAAGATGTGCAACCAAATTCAAATATAGTACGTCCATATCCAGCTATAAAAATGTGTTCATTTAAAATTTATTTGTCAAAGTAAACACAGTGCTCAAAAGGAACAAATTCACTTTCTGAAATTAAGAAAGAATGAAAAATTAAGAAATTAAACTTACAGGGAACGGATCTCGAAATTTCTCAAAATCAGGATCGTTCAATATAATATCTTGAATATTCGGGCATTGGCAGGGCACAGTACTTTTCGCGGCAGAGCACAGCGCTACTGCCATGAGCATAAGAAGTGTATTCATCGTGAGGGAGTAATGACAGTAAATTCAATCTGGAAGGTGCACCTGTTTTAAAGTATATGGCATTTCTTGTACATTTTCATTGACTGCGTCATAACGCATAAAAACAAAATATGTGAAATGCCTCATCCAAGTTGAGTGTGAGGGGGACTGACCCGCGATTTATTTGTAGCATTTTCCTCATAGATGGCGACACATTTTCCGGAATAAACGACTTGCTCTTAGCTGCGCATGCAGCTCGGGCCCTCGGGATTTTCTCGGGCCACGGGCTGTTTGCCGCCGATCTAGACAATCCAGATTTTGTTCGCTCGACGCCCTCCACTAACAGCAGGAACCAACGGTCGGCTTGACGAATATCCATCAATATAAACTAGTTGCATTCGATGCTCTAGGTACGACTTCACTCACTGCAAAGCATGCCCTCGAATCCCATATGTATCCAATTTTGCTAGTAAAAGTTCATGATGTAGACAATCAAATGCCTTTGTGAAATCCATGAATATTCCGAGAACAACTTTTTGTTCTTCAAGATTTTGCAAGATGAATTCTTTCTGGACGAGGAGGGCAGCCTCGGTAGATTTATGCTTTATAAAACCAAACTGCGAAGAAGTTATCAAATTATACTTAGTTTAAAAATTAGCTAGCTGTGTATGAAGTACCTTTTCAAGGGCTTTAGAACCAACTGGCAATATAGAAATTGGTCTGTAATTGCCCATATCATTTACACTCCCCTTTTTGTGCATTACTGACACTTTGGCTATTTGCATTCGTTTAGCAAAGACACCAGTAACCAAAGAAATATTGAATATATGCGTTAGCACTGCGGCTAATAAATGAACAACATTCTTAACAGGCCTTATTTGTAAATCATCCACGTCACAACCTCCGCTATTCTTAAGTTGTGAGATCACATTAATGACCTCCGGTTCTACAACCGGTTCTAAAAAATCGAGCTGCTGTTTCTATCATCATCAAAAAAAGAAGACTTTACAGTATCAATCCCGCTTCCAATATTCACAAAATGCTCATTAAAGCGGTCACCAAAGAACATCCGGTTAGTTCTACACCGTTACGCACTATTTTATCAATTGAAATAGATGAACGATTTCGTTTTAAGAGAGAGTTGAACTCCTTCCACGTGACGTCCGTACGTCCCTCTGCTGCCTTGAACACCTTGAAATGGTAGCGCTCTTTAGCACGCTTTAATTCTTTTGTTAAGACGTAGCGGTACATTTTAAATATTTTGAGGTCTTTCTCGTCTCTCGATTTAGCAAATGGGCTGTACAAAACATTTTTGGTGTGAATCTTGGATAATAAATCTGGCGTTTGTTGGCGCATTAGCACTGATTGCCTTTCCCCCCGTGCGGTTGCTGTTTTTTAAACGAGAACATTCCGATGATGCCTCAACGTGACAAAATACTGGTATAAATATAAAGCTTCCCGGCACAATCTGCTGGGTGTTCAATAATTCAGAGTAAGTCTAAATAATTGCGTTAAACTGCTGAGTCGTGCTCGCATACTTTGTCCGACAATGTTTGGTAACCGTTTCGTAAATTGTTTACACACATTGCGTGGCCTTATCGGGGTCGGGGGATCTTTTCCACCCTGCTCCTGCCTTCTTATTGAAAAACAAAATTATAATAATGTTACACAGTGGGGCCTAAATAATTTTTTATATGCGCAGAAAGGTATTAGCATTCCAAAGGGTTTATACGTACGATGTCAACTGGTACTGTGGTACATACAAACCATGTGTGTAGAAAATACTTTTATTTGTGATGAGATAGTGACTGAAATAAGGACACAGTATGATGACATACTGACTGAAGTGAGGACAAAGTGACTGAAAGTCAAACAGTAGTAGCGGTTGTAGCACATAGATCACTTTTCATCCATACACTCACAATATGGTGTCACCCCGTCTTACACGTAAAACAAAATACCTGACAAACATTTTTGCTTTAAAATGTACACAAAAGCTAAATTCACTGCATACTACCAACTTCCAAGGAATGCCATTTCCTAGATCCCGTGTTTGTCGCCCACGCTCTTAAACTAAGACGAGCACTGCTCTGCTGGTTTCTTCTTTTCTTGATGTTGTTTGTTCCTACGTATAGTAATATTCTTACAGTGTTGTCGCATTCGCATGCTGATGTAGTAGTGGAGCAACTGGACAATTGTTTCTTCTTTGTGTTCAGGTCATGTAAACGTCATTGTGTATGTGTCAAGAACACTGTCGATTGTGTCCCAGTAGACAGTTTGATGGCTTTTATTTTCCATGAATAGCGGTTCCGCTTTCTTTTCTGTAGCTGGAAAAGGTTTCTGTTGGGATGTAAAAGGCCTCCTTTGTTCTTCACGTTTGTCAGTGCTGCTTTAGTAGAAGTGTTCTTGTCGATGCTGAAAGCGGATCGGCAGGCATGGCAGCGTGTAGCTTTTTTTCATTTTCACACTCAAAAACTCAGTTACATAATATAGTTTGCAGTCCACAGTCTTGGTTCCTTCAGCCTTTTCTTTCCAGACATCTTTGGATTCCCAGTCTGACAGAAATTAGACTGTCAAGCTTGGTCTTCACTTGCTCAACGATACGAGGAGACCACGGACTTTTATCGTACGTCCTGATCAGGGCTGTGAGATCTGACACGTCAGGTGATGACCTCTCCTCTTCAATTACTCTACAGTTGCCGAACTTCGGAGGCTTCAGGATAGAGTAAATGCACAAGTAGGAGAAATACCCCCCATTGTAGTTGCGAACGAAGCACGTCTTTCCCACTCTTATAGTATACCTTCTTCTTCGGGTTAAGGCTCACCTTCGTGCATGATGGTGGCACCTGTCATCGACACAGCACCAAAGCAAAGCACGAGGCCAGTCACTGGCCGCACACCACTGCCAGATCACCACACCGCGAAAAAGGTGAGCTCGCTACGCCACAGACACCGTGGTCGCCGAGGAGGGACCTTATACCCATGGTGCTTAGGGTGCCTACTGTCGTGTCTTGGTATAACACTTTTAATTACATACTAAGGAGCCGCAATTTGGCATACAATGGAAGTCCGGTTACAATCGCGACGACGTCGTGGTCATGGCGGTCTTGCTTAGACCCATGTGCTGCCACGCACAGGGTTGCTCGAATGAATATACGTATGCAGCTGAACACAACAACTCCTCCCTTTTTAAATTACAAGTCCAACTTAATGGGTAGGCGTCGAACACGCTGGTGTCGAATCTTGGGTGTCGCGCACACGGTTGGCGACGACTTGTCGGGCACGACATTAAATCTGGCCGGTGTTGACGCATCCGCTGGATGGACGACGCTTCTCGTGGTTGCCTGTGAAGTCTCTTCATCTTCTGGCACTTCCGGCCTCTCTGGAGATACTGGGTTCAGTTGTGGTTCATCTCGAGTAGGCTGATTTTCCAAGGGTTTTGGATGTGGTGTGGATTCAATAACTCTTGAATCGCGAAGCTGGTCAATATGTCGGCGCCATACCGCATCACCAACCTGCACTTCGTAGGATACTGGCCCGTTACGACATTTGATTTTTCCTCCGATCCACTCTTGATTTCCTCTGTAATCTCTTACGGAGACTAAGTCCCCCTGCCGAAATGAACGAGTTCGTCGTCGGCAGTCCAACAGTGTTCTCTCCTGGCCTTGAAGTTGCCGCTGCACTGGGTCACTCTGAAGTAGTGACAGACGAGTGCGAAGTTCCCGTACCATGAACAGTTTTGCAGGGGTCTCCCCAGTGACTGTGTGAGGTGTCGTGCGATGCTTGAGCAAAAATGTTGCCACACACTTGTATAGACTTCCCTCTTCCTTCATGGACTTCAAGCTGTTTTTTAGTGCCTGAACCAATCTTTCCGCAGACTCATTCGTTGCGGGGTACTAAGGAGCTGAAAATCTGTGTTGCATACCATTTGTCTTGAGGAACTCTGCAAACTCCTTCGATGCGAATTGAGGTCCGTTGTCGCTGACAACTCTGGTTGGGTAGCCCGTTTCTGGAGAAGATCGCACGGAGAACTTCTATGGTATGTGTGGCGGTTGTGCTGTTCATGATCACTACCTCCGGCCACCGCGAGTAAGCGCCCATGACGACTAGGAACATTTTGTTCCTGAATTGTCCAGCAAAGTCGAAGTTGATTCTCTTCCAAGGCCCACTTGGAAGTTCCCATGGGTGAGGTGATGCCTTCGCCGGAAGGTTCTGTTGGGCACGGCGGCTGCCACGCTTCTTTCCTTGCTTTTCAATGTCCTTGTCAAGAGTGGGCCACCAGACATACGAGCGGGCAAGCATTTTCATCCCCACGATACCAATGTGGCCGCTGTGAAGTTCGGTGAGAATTTTCTCTTGCAGTTTCGTCGGTATGACAGTTCTAATGCCCCATGTGATCACCCCTTGGTGAGTCGAAAGTTCATCTCTTCGTCGGTAGTAAGGCGAGATCTCATCATCCTGACTGCATGTGTCCCATCCATTGAGGATATAGAAATGTACTCTAGACAGCACTCGGTCCCGTTGGCTTTTCAGTCGTACTTGCTGAGCAGTGACAGGGAGTTGTTCAATCTGAGTCATGTGGAAAAGCTCTGCTTCGTCTGGCTTGTCCACTAGAACCTCGGGCAGAGGAAGTCTGGACATGCTGTCTCCGTTGGCATTGTCTTCTGACTTCCGATACTCAATCTCGTAGTTGAATCCAGCCAGAAAAAGTGCATATTTCTGAATGCGGGCTGCCTGCATTGCAGGTATGCTGCTGCTTGGGCTGAAGATTCTTGTGAGTGGTTGATGATCAGTGATCAGTTTGAAGTGTCTTCCATGCAGGTACACATGGAACTTTTGAATTCCCCAGACAATGGCTAGAGCCTCTTTGTCTATTTGTGAGTAGTTCCTTTCTGATGGCTTTAGTGTCCGTGAAGCAAATGCGATGGGTCTCTCGCTTCCATCAGGCATCACGTGTGAGAGAACTGCTCCCAGTCCATGGGGTCCAGCATCACATGCAAGACGCACTTCCAGGTTGGGGT